AAAGCGCTATTTAAAGCACCCTTTTTTCTCCAAGGTCGCTGTTGTCACTCTGCTGATGACGTCAGCGACGCGGTTTAATCGGGCGCGCTTTAGTGGAGCGCGGTTTTGTCGTGCCACGCCTTTTTAGATCAAGGTAAGTAAATTTGTGTTAGGGGGTGGGGGTTCGTTCTTTGAATTTGTGGGTTGGTTTCTGAACTTTTCGTTACCAGGCTCGGTAACATCTTCAGCAAGTTTAGGGGATGCCAGTGTTCCTCTCTTTATAAGGGTTTCAGGTGAGGGTGTGTCAAGTGAGGATCTTGTGATGGGTCAGCTGTGAGTCATCAATGAGTCTTGTGATGGGTCTTGTGATAAGGACATCACATCAGGTCAGGGTCATTGGGAGGTGAATTTGTGGTGGTGGTGGGATTTGTGGGTTGGTTGAGGGCCAGTGCTGTGTGGTGTGGTGTGATTTGTGTTTTGTGTCAGAAGATGAAGTTTTTGGGAAGCCATTACGAGAGAAGCAGCCATTTCTCTTCTGCTTTTCTTAGGGTTGTGGTGCTGAAATGTCTGGATAGGATCTGAACAGATTCTTTTGTGTGGAGTGGGGTGATTGCTTGCGAAGCTGAAGATTTGGTCCATGGGTTTGCGGTAGTCACAGGTTTCTAGTTTCTAATCACTCTCATTCTACACCTGAGCTACAGATATGTGTTAGTTATCTATGGCCCAGCTAGGTGGTAGCATCTGGCCAATGCTGACTGATCTCATAAAGCTAAGAAGGTTGAACCTCATTGTTACATGGATGGGAGCCCACCAAGCTGTATTCTTGCTGAGAAAGTAACATGGACGTGTCCCATAAAAACATCAGAAGGCAAGCTTCACTTGAATGTTTAATTTTCTGCTGACATGCTTTGTACACACTAAAAAGTCTGCCCATTTGTTCAGAACTTGAATCTTGAATCTTCCTACATACCAGAGCTGTTACTTTCCAAAGACTGCTGAGCTACAATTCTCAATGCCTAACCACGATGACTAAAGGCCTGCAGATTTCTCTCTATTGCAGTAAAATTATCTCAACGCTCACCAATTAAATAAAAATGCAACCTCCCTTTATCTTTTGACAATGAAGGCAGTATTTAATCAGTACCTCTATACAAAGGACTGCCAGGAGCATCTGCAGTTACAATGGAGAAAAGGCTGCAGAACTAGGTAATGCTGCAGAGCTACCAACTGGATAATGTCATTTAAATCTACAGTCAAAGTGAGAGAAGTAGCAGCAGGGACTCTGTGGCAGCTCATTCCATCCTTGCCTTTGGGATTGTTATAGTTCATTAGAAGTCCACTGAATAAGACAAAAGACCTATCTAGGTCAGAAAACTGTTCCTCTCCATGGTCAAAAGGATGCCCTTGGATTCCAAGACAACCACCTTTTCCCACAACTATTCCATCACATCTGGCACACAGAGGCATGCTTCTCCTGAGCCTGACTTCTTCCCCCCTCATGATAGGATGGGATAGCCAAGTTGCTAGTTGTGATGCACAACAGATGGAGGAAAGAAGCAGGACAGGTTGCTACTTATCTACCATTATCAGCATGTGAGGTTTCAAACATAATTCTAACCATGATCTATTCATGCTATTGGCTGGGATCATACAGCAATCCAGGATAACTAACAAACTGAATTGGTCTCTTCACACTTAGTGAAGCATGTATTTCCTGCGTCAGATGAGGACAGCACATTTTGCTCGTTCTGTCCTTGGCATTTTTTACAACTGAGGCACAACTGAGAGCACTTTAACAAACTGCATCACTGTTTGGTTTGGTGACAGCAGTGCCTCAGATAGAAGGTCCATACAGAGAGGGGTTAAAGGACCACTGAGAAGATTATAGGAAGCTCATTCCCGCTATTCAGGATACTGCATATAAACACTATGTACTTAAAGCTCAAAGCATTGTTAGAGACCACACACACACACACACACACACACACTTTACGGTCTGGCTCAAGGTAACTTGTGAACAAGCACTGCTAAAGCAAAACACAATTTAGCATAAACTATAAGCCTCAAAGGGATTAATAAGCTCACTCCATGTCATAGTTAGGACTGGAACCCAGAAGAGAATGTCCAACGTAGAAGATAAGAGGGCCAAGATCTTTGCAAAGTAATATGAAGAAAGAAGTATCATGAAAACTCTGGTTAAATGGGTATGAGAGGGGGGTGGCAGGCAGAAGGGAAAGTTGAAGACTGATGAGACTGAAAAGAAAACAAACACTGAAGCAAATAAAGTAAAGCAATGGATATAATAAACAGCAGAGTGTATCCCAGAGCCAGAGAGGGTCTGGACATTCCTACCTTTGTTGTAGAGCATGTTCTTTACAATCTTTAATATCAGTGATACGTTTCCCATAGCTGTAAAGAGAGAGAAAGCACATTTGTCAGGCCCCAAGAACAGTTTCCTTTATTGTTCTTTACCCATAGACAGAATCTTGCCAGACTAAAGTAACTATTTACAAAACTATGGATATATTCTGGGAAATGCTAGAGTGGAGCTGTTTTAACCCTCTTTCTGCCAACCAGACTTTCTAAGCTCCACTGCCTCTTTGCCCTCTTGAAAGCAGCCTTTCCTTCCAGGAATCCAGACTACATTCCACCACAACTCATCCATTGCTTTCTTTTCCCAAAGCCAGAGTTTCTCAAAACGTGAATTGCAATCCTTCATAATATACTTGCATTTGTATGTCCCTTTAAAAACTAATTATTTCACTAGGACTACAGTTGGTCAAGTAATAATTGTATCACTGACTTTTAAACATTAAAATTTAATCCCTATATTACATAAAAGTATGATACTGAAATGTTAAAAAAAAAAACCTTTCATTTCCAATAAAGAAACTAATTTAAAGGAATATTTTTTCATGAGAAGGATATCCTTACTTAATTTTATGTGCTTTTTCAAATCTAGTGATTATTATTATTATTATTTGAGACAACTGCTTGCATTATTCCTTCCGCATTTATTTTGGATTGATGTATGGTTTTCATAGGAGCAAAATGGAAAAATTCTGCCTCTCAAAAACAAGATGTTGCAAATTGAATCAATGATTATAGCTGTCTTACTTAATTCTTTGTATTAGTAATTGATTAGTAATTCACACTGATTAGTAATTCAGGGAGAGAAATTATTAGGAATTATTTTTAAAGAAATCCTTATCAGGAATAGTAATATCCAGTATTATTTTGATTCATTGCACATGAGAATTTGTTCTGAAAGTGTATGTCAAATAAAGATGAATTAAATATAAATCATATTTACTATTCTCTATGTTACCGCTTTTAATAGTTTCAAAGCAAGAAACATGTCTAAATTTGAGTCTTTCTGTTTTACTCTTCTCCAGTTTAACTTTCCAATTCATTATTTTTATTTGTCAACAGGTTCAAGGAAATTGTCACTTTGCAATGAGATCATAAGAATCTTTAGTTTGTCAAAAGTATACTAAATAAATACTGAAATCACAATTGATATACTGTAGATAACTATGTCTTTTCATAGTTAAGAGTTCATTTCTCCATGGGTGTCAAACATCTTGACTCACCGTAAAACAGTGAAAAAATGTATTTGTCAGCCATCTCGTCACACAATCTTTATAGGTCTATTTTTTGTTCAATTCACGTAATAGTTTGTAAAACTTCATGAATTGTTGGACTCAACTCTTCCAAAGCAAGACCTTGCCTACATCTAATCCAACTATGAGATTCTGGAATATTAAAAAAAAGTTTCTATGACATTGTGATGTAGAATGTGCTCTATCAGTGCATCTCATGATGCAATTAGTCCACTTTAAGTGATTTGTATTCATACAGTTACCCAAATCTTCAAAAAGCCCCTCAGCTTTACACATCTTTATCACTTCTTTACATGAAAGTAAATTTTCATTTATTTTGGTTTCAAGAACATTTCTAACATAGCATCCTTTGCCCTATTATCTGTCACTTCATTGGTCTGATGAGCAAATGGTCTACTGCTTAGTTTTTCGTTTAGTTCAGTGGTTCCCAAACTTGGCAACTTTAAGACTTGTGGACTTCAACTCCCAGAATTCTCCAGCCAGCAGAGCTCAGTAGTTTGATGGGAAATGGTGTCATTTAATAGAGAGACAATTCTTACTGTTTGACACTAGATGTCCAATATAGCGATAACCAAATTGCCAGAATTGTCAACTGTACTGACAATTGCCAAACAATTGTGTGGAAATTCCCCCCCTCCCCCGGGTGAATCTGTATACAATTTGATGAGCAGCAATTTTACAAGGATGGTCATATATCAAAGTAGTAAATTTTTTCCCCTTCAGTTCAACTTCCTTCGAATGGAAAAATCTCAAGTTTTTTTTTTCCACTAAGTCTGCTTGATTTGTGTCCAGGTATTATTCTGGTTTTGCTTGGCTTCATACTCTCAACTGACAGTTTTTTTTCTGAAAAGTTACATACTGATAACATTCTTCTCCAATAACAGAACTCCTTGTGAACCCTAAAGGTATGCAACTTACTTCACACTTTTTGATTTAAGCTTACTTTTATCACCACCGCTTTATCTTTTCTTTTACCATGCCACAAAAGGCTTTTCTCTTTTTAAAGGTTAGAAATCCAAACTAATGAAGAGAAACACTGAAATTTTCTAACACAGAACTTGACTTCTACAGAAATTGTCAACATGCTAGGTGCCACATCAGGAGTCATCAGCCAGCAAGAAACCATACCTCTGTCACAGTGCTGCTGTGATTGGTGGATGATTTTGAAAGATAGCTAAACCTATGGGATTATCCCTCCTTCAAATCCAGCTGTGGGCTTTGCTGCTTCTTGGCTTGGGCAAACCCAGAGGACCCAGGAACAAATCCTGAACTTGTTCCTGCTTTGTGAATATAAGCCTCCACGTTAATGACTCCTTTGAATTTGCTCATGGGCGTTGAAGGGGGATGATTCATGATTTAAGAATCTCTGCTCTAAATAAAGCCACTGTTCAGTGAAGCAGAAGTCCAGCAAGAAGAGTTTTACTTATAGAAGAAGTTTAGTTTAGTCCAGTGACGTGCAGTCAGGAGAGGCAGGGGAGGCAGAGCCTCATTACTGTCATCGTGAAAAGAAAAAAAAATGTAAAAGGAAAAAGGCTGAGGTAGTTGCTGCCAGAGTCACAGTAGATGACTCTTCTTAGTGCTTAACTTTTTTTAAAAAGCCTCTAAAAAAGTGCCCTCTACAGGAGGAGGCAGGAGAACCACGTGCCTCATTTAGTCTGACTTTATGATCACTCAAGCAGAGTTAAGGAAGGGTTAAAAGCTGAAAAATTCCTTATGTAGATGAGGCACGTGGTTCTCTTGCCTCCTCCTATAGAGGGCGTTTTTTTAGAGGCTTTTTTAAACAGTTAAGCAGAGTCATCCATTGGGGACTCTGGCAACAGCTAACCCAGCCTGACCTCAGCAGCTCTTGCCTTTTTCCTTTTATATTTTTACATTTTCATCATGGCAGACAAGAGCAGAGTTGAAATCCTCACTGCACGTCACTGGTTTAGTCCCTGGTATCAGGATTTTGAAAGGAAGACGTAGGAAGCCGCAAACTGAATCCTTGGAGAGGTATTCCTAATCATTTATTAATACTGTTCAAGTCATAAAATTCAAAAGTTCAAAGGTAAGTGAGATCCTTGAGTATATAACTCCCTGCTAGAAATCTAATTCAAACTCTGTTGAAAGTTAAAAGAAACTTCCTAAGAACCTACTTCTCTATGCAAGTGTATCTTAATATGCCATGTCCTCTGCACTGCCTGACACATCTTCAAACAGCTGAAAAGTGGATCATAGAGATCTCTATCCCAGCAGGGTTTTTTTTTTCCTCCTGAAGGTTCTTCTCTCAACCTCTCCTTGGAAGAGTTCATTTCTAGTCACCTGAGCATTCTCACTGCCTTTTTTGGATCTTCGGTTTATTTGAATCTTTCTTAAAATGTAGTAGCTGGAACATGGTGCTGTATTTAAAATGGTAAACTGAACAATTGAGAATGGGAACCCTCATTGTACTTGTCAGGAGCTCCTTTAAGATACAGGGAGGGTGTCCATAGAAGAGCCAAAGCACCTTTGTCCACTTGGATCTGATTACTGCACATTTCTAGAATGGAAACTAAATTCCAGTAATTTGGAAACTATATACTTTTACATGCAATTTGATAGTAATTCTGCAAGCAGACTAATTCAGACAGATCCAGGAAACTAAGGTCAGTCTAACCCATCTGACATCCTTCAACTTGGGCCATGCTGGTTGGAAATTCAGTGATCTGCATTCCCAACAATACTGGAACACATCAGATTAGATTACGGCTAGCCTAGGAGGGGAGCGACACGGTGGCTCAGTGGCTAAGATGCTGAAGTCGATCAGAAAGGTTGGCAGTTCGGCAGTTCAAATCCCTAGTCCTGCCTAACAGAGTGAGCTCCCATTACTTGTCCCAGCTTCTGCCAATCTAGCAGTTCGAATGCCTGTAAAAATGCAAGTAGAAAAATAGGAATCACTTTGGTGGGAAGGTAACAGTGTTCCGGGCGCCTTCGGCATTTAGTCATGCCAGCCACATGACCATGGAGACATCTTCAGACAGTGGCTTTGAAACAAAGATGAGCACTGCCCCCTAGAGTTGGGAACAACTAGCACATATGTGCAAGGGGAACCTTTACCTTTACCTTTAGCCTAGGAGGACCGATGGTATAAAAGAGATGGAGAAGAGAATATCTCAAGTATTTTTTTTAAAAAATTCTGAAATGACCAACTTCTCTGATATCTTTGGCATCTGTTCTCTCATGCAGTGTCCCAATGGATGAAGTGAGTATTAGCCTAGTCTAACAAGCGCAGGATAAGCCGAGGTGGCGCAGTGGTTAAATGCAGCACTGCAGGCTACTTCAGCTGACTGCAGTTCTGCAGTTCGGCTGTTCAAATCTCACCGGCTCAGGGTTGACTCAGCCTTCCATCCTTCTGAGGTGGGTAAAATGAGGACCCGGATTGTTGGGGGCAATATGCTGACTCTGTAAACCGCTTAGAGAGGGCTGAAAGCCCTATGAAGCGGTGTATAAGTCTAACTGCTATTGCTATCATTATCACACAAGCTCTTACACGTTTTAGCACATTACTTACCCTTTAATGCCACTGAAGGCCTCTTCCGTCACCTTGTGAATATAAAGCACTTCATCTCGTATCAGCGTGATGTAGAGTGAGCCACGAAGAGCCATCCGCCAAAGTTCCAGGCAATTCTGAGTAGAGCCTAGGCAACTGTGGCAGAGCAAGAATCCCACTGCAGGGAGGGGAAAAAAGTTACTGAGGTGGGGGGGGGGAGGAGGGAAAGGAAATACAACCCTTTGGTGTTATGAAAAATTGCCAGCAGGGGTCCAAAAATTGCTGGGAGCAGAATGAATAGGGCAAGTTAAGCCAAAGCCTCACAAAGAGTAGCAAATCTTTACATCTTCTTTGAAGTGGGGCTGAGGCAGGTGGAAATGCATGGAGCATAGTTTTGCCAAATGCGACGCTAGACAAGCAAATCTACCCTGGCTAAGATAATGGAGGAATATTTTTTCCTATTTTCATAGGAAGTGAGGGAAGAGGGATCCTGCATGTAAAAATTGGCTAAAAAGTGCAGAAACGATTCTTGTCAGGGGGGAAATTTTACCTCTTCCTAACAACGTTCAGTTTTGGAAGTGTTCTGCTCTTAAAAATCTTGGATGAGGAATGGACTTTCAGAACCCTGAGCTGAGTTTGGAGAAAGGAAGGATTTCAATTCTATTCCTTATTTACAGAAACAGAAAAAACAGGGAAGAATAATAATAAGGCACTTGGACAAAAGAAGAATGGAAACTTTTCAACTCATCTGTTACAAAAAGTTGCAATACTTGGGACAGTGCATACAATACAGTGGTACCATTAAATATCTTAGTTACTTGGGGAGGAGCCAATAATCAAAAGTATTAAATCCTAAAAGTAAAGTAAAAGGTAAAAATACTAAGAGTACTATCACAAGACTGTCACTGATGACTCACACCTGACCCATAAGACCCTCACTTGACACACCCACAACTGTAGCTCTTATAAGCAGAAGAACACTGATACTAATATCCCCTAAACCAGTGATGGCGAACCTTTTTCACCCCCATAATTTAATGCCCCCATGCCATGCCCCCTGCGCATGCGCATGGCTTTCTCGAAGCCTGGGAGGGGGAAAACAGACTCCCTGCCTCCTCCCCCCCCCCCGAGGCCTGTTTTCTGACTTCCAGTGGCTCCAGTAGGTCCATTTTTTGCCCTCCCCAGGTTCCAGAGGTTTTCTAGGAGCCTGGGGAGGACGAAAGTGGCCTCCCCCACCTCCCTGGAGGCCCTTCCCTAAAGTCCGTTCCCAAACTTCCGGTTTGTACATTGGGTGGTTTTTCACCTGCCAGAGGCTTCAGGGAAGCCGCCTGAAGGAGAAAAACGGCCAAAAATCAAGGCTGAAAATCAGCTACCCAGTGCACGCATGCGCACTGGAGCTGATAGGGCAACCCCTCCCATGGCCTCAGAAATGGCTTGCCATAGGTTCGCCATCATGGCCCTAAACTCTGCTGAAGATGTTACCTAACTTGGTAATGAAATGTTCAGAAACCAACCCACAAACTCGGAGAATGAACATTCATCCTTGTACTAAATCCAGTCAGAATTATAGGCAGAATTATAAGCAGAATTATAAGCAGTAATAATAGCAACTGTAATAACAATTTGTTCAACAAGTACAATAAGAAGGGAGAAGTTAGTCTTGACTCCTGTCTTTTTTGTGCTCTTTTTTCTGTCCCATTCTGTTTCTCCCCCTCCATCCTATTTCCTCTCTCTGTGACTTCTCTGTCCGTTAATTCCCTTTTGTTCTGTTGAAAGAAATTTGATAACTTTCCACAGTTCCTCTTGCTGTATCTGTACAGATTTTCACATGGGCTTGTTCCTCTATATTTCTGCATCCTGTTCTTACCCAACGACTACAATGGAAGGAAAAAGCCAGAGGAAAGTTGAGAGCAGAGTGCTTTCAATGTGTTGTTACTGGCTGCACTCCCAGTGTAGAAGCAGTTTGTGATTGGTATGCCCCACCAAATGACTTCCCTACTATTGCTTTCTAACAATGATGAAAGTGCCTTAAAAGTTGCCTATCTCTCTTCTAGGCTTAGGATCCAAGCTGGAACTTAAAATTAAAGTGATGGTAACTTACTCACAATCCATCGCTCGAGAACCTCCCATGAAAGGTATTCACAGGCCATCTGGTGAAGAAAAGGGGTACACAAACAAATAAGATTCCTCTCCACAGCCATGTACACAATGATCCATACAGTCTATCTTGTAGGTGAGTGTCCTTTTGTACCCATGTGGTTTTCAGAAACACAACAGCAATAGCACAGACGTATATCTGCTTCACAGTGCTTTACAGGCCTCTGTAAGCGGTTTAGAGTCAGCATATTGCCCCCAACAATTTTGGGTCCTCATTTTACCCACCTCGGAAGGATGGAAGGCTGAGTCAACCTTGAGCCTGGTGAGATTTGATCTGCCAAATTGTCACATTGTAGGCAGACAGCAGTCAGCAGAAATACCCTGCAATACTACTGCATTCTAACCACTGTGCCACCACAGCTCCTAACTGTGTTATGTACAAGTGAGAATTGTTATTGGGGCATCCATTGTCACATTCAGTCCAGCCTAACTCAGGAGTCTTCAAACAGTTGGAATTTCAAGGAAAAATTCTGGCTTGACCACTGTGAAAAATTTCTTCTTTTTATGTCCAGAAGTGCATATTTGTCTGGCTTTGCTCTCTCTTTCCCTCTTCCCCTCTTTTTGGTGGCTGCCACAGGCACTTTTCTCAGTGTTTGTACTTTCCTTTATCTCCACAGTCTGAATGACCTTCCCCTCCTTTCCAGTTAGCCTAGTTTACTTAATTTTTCTTACAAAACTGGCTGGCAGAAAAACTCTGGTCTCTGGTGCCTCCCTCTTTTTATTACAAGCTTGCATGGGCTAAAGAAACACACACACACACACACACACACACACACACACACACAGAGCAAGGTAAAGAGGGTAGCTCTTTTCAATCTAAAACTGTCTCTTTGCCAGATATCTGAGTTCTTTTAAAATTTCAGTATGTATTTTTTTTTTAAAAAAAATCAAATTAAAAGGAGCAAGGCAATGAGTGGGATTAAACAGAAGTGTCCACTGGCAATCATACTGTCAACTCCAGCCCAGCTAGTAAAATGGTCCAGAAAATTAGAACCAGACTTTATCACCCTGTTGAGTTAATAGGAATAGCATCCATTCTTGCATGAAATTATGCTACCTTAAAACTGGCCATCTTCACCATCTACTCTAGTTCTGCATGTCCTGTGCTTGTTCTGAATCCCTGCTGAATCACGTTGGCCTGGCCTACGACTCTATGGTTCATTAGAGGCAAGGTGATTGGTTTTCTCCTCTGCCTTTGCTCTTGTCCCTTTTTGATGTATTCTCAGACAGTGATGAAAACATCCTCCAATCAGAGAACTGTCGTAGGAACAGGGCGGGTCTGACTCTGTCAGAGCCTTTCTATTAACTTGTTTTCACACACTGCATTGAAGCATCTCCCACATACAAAATAAAGGAAGACAGTGGGAAAATGCCAGGACAGAAGCAGCCTCAAACAGAGAGATGCCATAATTGGGCATGATTGTCCTGTAGAGTAAGATAGCCGAACATCAATAGATGCATTTATTTTTCTTTCATAGGAAAGAGGTTATTAAAACCGACAAGTACAAGAGAGCCATAAAATAAGCAATGAAAAGAAAACAGTCTGGCACGTCTTGTTTTCTGGATTCTGCAGTAAGGAAAAGAAAGCTGCTACATCTATAGAGAAAGATCCCCGCCGATGCCATTTCAGAATGCTGTTAACAAGGAAGAAGCTGGCTAGCCCAGGACTCTGTTTTACAGCTGAGAAGCTGCAAATAAGTCCCTTCTTCTTCACCAAACAACATGGAGGAGGTTAGATCATTTCAGAACAGCGCCAAAAAGGAATCCTGTAAAATTTCTCCTCTTCCTTAAAAATAACATAATGGAGATTTGTTTTCTCTTTCCATTGCTGGAAACACACGCTAATAGTCCCAAAACACACCCTTGATCATATCTGCATTGAGTTAGCTGATCTCACCTTTAAGTTAATGGGTATGAAACCCATTCTAGATTTTAAATTGAAGGCTGAAGCTGCGAAGGGATAGTATTGATTTAAAAGGTGGGGAGCTACTTTAACATCGCTACACTTAGTGATAACTTAAGGCTACGTCCCATATAGTATGGGCTGTGAATGAGAGGAGGACAAGTTGTGCAACGAAGGGCAAGACAGTGATGATAGAGCTTAATAGTGCCATGAAAAACCGCACGTGGGAACAAAGCCTAAGATGGACATCCAGAGTACCATATTTTTCAGAGTATAAGACGCACTTTTCCCCCCTAAAGGGGTGTGTGAAAATTTGGGCGTGTCTTATACACTAAATATAGTCCCGCCCACCTGCCGGTCCCCACCCTTTGGCCTCTGCCTCCCACCAATTTGCCTCCTTGCAGCAAACAGCAAACAGCCTGTTTCAGTTTCAGCTTCAACACAGGCTGCTTAGCACAAGCAGCTGATTATCAGTTTGATCTGCCTCCCGACCATCAGCTGTTTCAGGCTGCATGAATTGCCATTGCCTATTGCCGCCTCCGCACACCCCATTTTCAGCCTCCGTGTGCCCCATTTTCTGCCCATTCCTATCCCTACCATGAAAAATGGGTCACTTAGAGGTCAAAAACAGGGTGTGTGGAGGCTGAAATTGGGGCGCACGGAGGCAGCAATAGGCTATAGCAATCCCTGCATCCTGAAACAGCTGATTGCCGCGAGGCTGATCTACTGACAATCAGCTGCTTGTTCTAATCAGGCTGTGCTGAAATTGAAACTGAAACAGGCTGTTTGCTGCAAGGAGGCAAATTGTTGGGAGGCAGAGACAGATTTTTTTCTTTTGTCTTCCTCCCCAAAAACTAGGTGTGTCTTATACTTCGGAGCGTCTTATACTCCAAAAAATATGGTCAATCTATTTTTCTGCTCAGCCTCATAAATCAGCCTTCAAGCAAGAAAAAAAAATGGACTGAAGATGGCTCTTCAAAAAGAATATAATAAAGAAAAAGAAACATATAAAGAAGCGACTCCGAGCCCTCATTACAACAAGTATAAACAATTTTAGTAATTTTACACATGGCTGCCATAAGAACAACACAATGAAGCTTTAACTAGTCCAGAATACAACAGAGCACTAGCAGTTTGCTTCAAGTGTCATTTAGGTTGCTGGCTGTGCCCTATAACGTCCTACAAAGCACAGGGCAAATCTGAGGGGCCACTGATCTTCTGTGATGTCTACTCAGCTGATCTAAGAGCTACCATACTCCAGGTTTGTTTGATTAAGCAGGGCCATCTATGAGGACTTCAGATGCATCCCTCCCCTGTCGTGGCACCTGCCCCTAAAATGTGGTTCCCCCAAGATCTGAGTGGCTCCTATCCTGATGGGGTTTCAGATGCTTTAAAGACTTGTTGTTTTGTCAGGCCTTGAGCTAGTTTGACTTGATCTGTTCGCATAACTCTCTGTATTGTTGACCTTGTTCATCATAATCTTATTTACTGACACTATATTTTTATCTTGCTTTGTTACATTGTGAGCTGTCCAGAATTCTTCTGAAGTTGATGGTGCCTAGCAGTGGTGGATGTCTACATGTGTCTTAGCATCCAGCGATGCCTCCACGATGCTCCAGCTGCTTGGCGGAGGATCGCGCAGGCACTGTACGTGCTGTGCGCGTGCGCTTAAGCACTGAAGACTTTAAAAATAGGTAAAGAGCGTGGGCAGGCGGGTGGGCCCTCCAGAGCATCGTACCGGAATGGTACCCGGTGCTCCGGGCAGGCTCCGGTATGCCCGTACCAGGGCATACCGCCTGCAACCCACCACTGGTGCCTAGATTGGCTGACTGACTGACATTTGTGTAATGTACATTTCAAGAGAGAATGACCATTTTATGTTCATGGGGATGCATTACTCTAATCAACAAGTATTTTATTTTACCAACAATTTCAAAACAGCACACTAGGAGATTCAGATGCTTGCCATCTCTAAGGCATCTCTAGCATCAGCCATTCGAAGGGGTGACTGCTGAACATACTTTCACACACTCATACTCACAGTGTCTGAACTGGCAGGAGACAGCATGCTGGCAGGATTGCTGATTAAGCTGAAGAGCTGGTCACCTCGCCACTGGTCAGCAGAATGGTTTCGACGGACAAACAGGAAGTGCAGCGAAAGAAGTGCATGGCTCACAGTCTGGGAAGAAAAAATGGATTAGCACATTTAAGAAGGAAGAGTATGAAGAGGGAGTGAGCGCAAAAGAGCAAGACTACCATATTTTTCGGGCTATAAGACGAAGCATGATTTTGAAGAGCTAAATTTTTTAAAAAGTTTTTGCACTCTGCAGGTCTCCCAAACCCTCTGCACGCCTCATTTTTTGCAAAAATAAAAAATAAAGGGCAGGCAGAGGCTTTAAGAGGTTTGTAGAGTGCTCCTGGGGGAGGGGAGAACGAGCACACCTCATTTTTTGCAAAAAAAAAAAAAAAAAAAGATCCTGCAGAGTTTTAGGAGGCTTGTAGAGTGCTCCTGGAGACGGGAGGGGGCAAAAAGAGCAAAAAACGGTCCGGGTTTTCACAAAAAAGGGGGGGGGCACACAGAGGCTTTAGGAGGCTTGTAGAGTGCTCCTGAGGGCAGGAGCAGGGGGCAAAAATGAGCATGCCTTATTTTTTGCAAAAAAAGGGGGGCATGCAGAGCTTTGAGAGGCTTGTAGAGTGCTCGGGGGGGGCAAAACGAGCAAAAAATGGGCCGTGTTTTGCAAAAAAGAAAGAAAAAGGGCATGCAGAGACTTTGGGAGGCTTGTAGAGTGCTCCTGGGGACTGGGGGGGGCAAAAATGAGCAAAAACCATCCATTTTTTGCTCATTTCTGCCCTCCCCAGCCCCCAGGAACACTTTGCAAGCCTCCCAAACCCTCTGCACATCCATTTTTGCAAAAGGAGTGGGGTTTTGGTAGGCCATAAATGCTGTATTCAATGTATAAGACACACCCATATTTTCAGCCTCTTTTTGGGGGGGAAAAAAGGTGTTTCTTATATTCCGAAAAATATGGTATGTGTCGTGTCATCTTGGCAAATTTACATTTCTAAATCACACAAGCAGAGATAATGCAGACGCACAAGGCACCTGACTGGGAGGTAAGCAGAAGAAAAGAGTAAAGACCATTCACATACCCATTTTTCTCAAACTCCTCCACAAATGGAGGTAAAGACAACTAGCAAATGGGAAAAGAATTAAGGAGCTGCAATAATTCTGTAATTACCGCAACTGACGTAAACACAAAAACACAATCCAGACAATAAGGCTGGGTTTACACTTTAATTGAAGATTTACCTTAAAGAACTAGATTTGTGCAACCACCCAGCATCTCACCTTGGTATGAGGCCCAAACTCCTCCAGCAGCTTGCGCAAGGGATTCTCGTACTCGATCATCATCTGACCCAATCGACGGAAGCTAGCGTCACTAAAGTCAAACAAGCAATGCACTGTTTTATTACACAAAACATCGACCTAGCTCCAATTGTAGACTCTGGGCAATCAATCTGTTAAAGCTGCCTGCCAGATACATACTCAGTACCCACTTACCCCCTCAAACAATGCCCAGCTTGCTCCTAGATAATAGAGAATGACTCTCTGCTTGGACATTTCACACAATATCTGAGTCCATACATGTGCTAAAGCACAGTTTGTTTAAATACTGCACAAAGCAGAATGAAGTGGGTTTCCCCAACATGCTAAGCCATAAAGTATGTTTCTCAAACCACAATATGTAAGTTCATAGAATGCCCTAAGTCTAAGTGATGGAGCAGTTAAGACAGCAGATGAGGGAATTTTAGCAGAAACTATTTGCGCATCTTTACTAGCTTCCGGCTCTGTGGTACTGGGGATGGGGAGAATGAGGCAAGAGCCCCATCCTTTTTTTTGCATCCATAAATTTCTCAGTGCATAAGCATCATTGATTGCCATTAGAAACTTTGCGTGGGATGGAGGAAGAGATCATTGGATCAAGTTTTAAGTCCACCGCGGACAAAACTTTAGATGACTTTGGACCATGTAATCTCTCTCAGCCCAACTTATCTTGCCAGGTTACTGCTGTCTGGAAAACCTGAAGAGGAAATATTGTACATATCACCTTGAGCTCCCAGAAGAGAATGGAATGCAGAGCTAGGCATTAAACGGACACGATCCATATTTAAAAAGCCAAAAGTAAGGGTTTCCCTTCTCCAGTCATGTCTGACTCCAGGGGGTGATGCTCATCTCAGTTTCCTAGTTGAGAGCACCAGCATTGTCCGAAGACATTCTCATGGTCATGTGGCCAGCATGACTATATGCTGAGGTCAGTAGTGAGTTTCAAATTTTTTTAGAACCTATTCTGTAGGTGTGGCCTGTTTTGTGGGAGTGGCTTGGTGGTCATGTGACCGGGTGGGAGTGGCTTGGTGGTCATGTGACTGGGTGGGAGTGGCTTGGCAGTCATGTGACCGGGTGGGCGCGGCCAACATAAAATGTGGTGAAACTTACTTAACAATGCTCTTGCTTAGCAACCAAAATGTTGGCTCAGAAACTCTGGCATTTGAAGCACGCAAGTCTTAAAGCTGTCAAGCTACAAGACCTTTGCACCCCTAACCCTTTAGAAAAAAACCTAGGGGTGTTCAAACTTGACAGCTTTAAGACTTGTGGGCTTCACCTCCCAGAATTCCTCCTTCCCTCGCTCAGCTGCTATTGGGGGGACCACCAGGACAAGCGAGGTTTTGCAACAGACCTTCTCTCCCCCTCCAGAGAGCCCATGCCGGGAGAGAGGAAGTGGGCTGGTTTGAATGATGGCCAATGGGCAGTTTAGTGGCCAGTGAGTGCTCTCTTCACTTGTTCGGGCAGGTGGAGAACGAAAGGAGGTCGCGTAGCCGAGGCAAAGGAGCTTGCGGCTTCCTTCCTTCACATGTTCAGGCGGGGGGGGGCTTTCTCGCACACCTCCTACACTGCCGCCCGCCTGCATTCAAACCAGGCTGCCTCCTATCTCCCCACATGGGCGCTCTGAAGGAGGAGGGAAGGTCTCCCCCAAGACCTGCTTCCTTTATCTTGTGGCGCACTTCTGAGATAGTGGGAATGGGATATTCTTTTTTTTTCGCCGGTACGGGGACATAGCCTTGACCCCTGCCTTCCTGCTGCCTCCAGTCCAGCCCCGCGCAATCCGCCAACCCACTGACCTCGGGACACTCTGCTGGATAGCCTCTCCTTCTTGTCCTATTGCCGACTGCAGCCGCATCCGGGCAGAGCGGTCACATGACATTGGTGCATGGGCTGCTGACCATCCAAGGGCCTGCCCGGTTTCTACTGGAGGGGACAGGCAGATGGGCAGCATTTCCCACCCTCCTCTCCAGCTGCCTGCAGCCTTGGAGCCTCAGCTCGGCGGGCAAAGGAAGTGGGTGGGCGGGGCAGGCGAGCAAGCGGTGAGCGGGCAGGCAGGGGGAACAAGCAGGGGGGGCAGGCTAAGGGAGGGAGCGTTCCAGTACGGGGCCTCCGGAAGAAGGGGTACGGGAAGGCACACTAAATTTCACCAACCGGTATGCCCATACCAGTGCATACATGCTGAAACCCACCCCTGGCTGAGGTGCATGGAATGATGCTACCTTCCCACATGCATGTTTTCAAACTGCTGGATGGCTGGGAGCTTGGAGCAAGTAACAGGAGCTCATCCCATCATGCAGCACTTGGGTGTCAAACCTGGGCTGTCAGCTGTAACCACTGAGTCACCATATCCTCATCCATGTGCACTTCAGACAATAAATGCAGCTTATTATATTTCTCTTGACATTGGTTTCAATATAATCTTGTCTCCAAACAATGAGAGTTTTGCTGATCAAGAGTCAACCATACGATTGACCATATCAAACTTCATGCTAAAATTCCTTTTTTTTGGGGGGGGGGGAATGGGTTAGCTACAGCCAAAGTACACTCTAGTGGTGGAGAAATGGGGGTCATCTATAGCATCTAAATAGCAGATGAATCAAAGAAAAGTATGACTGGCATCTGTGGTGGGGGGCACAAATCCTTCTGCTGAAAGAGATAGTTCTCATTTTATTGATTATCTATCGATTGATTTTATTCATTAATGCTTGGCTAGGAAGCTGAATGAATGCTCCTGGCAGAATAAGACAACATGGAAAGCAAATATTCCACCAACATTGGCAAAAATACAATGAACTCTCTCCAGGTAATATAATCTTAGCCTGAGTAGATAGGCTCCAACCTGGTGCCATGGATCATTTCATGGGTGCAGTGATGCAGACCAATCAGGACTTTACGATCATCAATCCGGGAAAGAAGTACAATGACAGAAACGTAGGTGACAATCAGGTCCAGGTAGTTCTTGGTGAAATCATAATTCACATTCTGCAGGAAAAAAAAAACATATAACTGAATCGGAGGGAAGAAAAAGGAAAGACTGAGCTAGCACTTCTTCACAACTTTTGCGGTTTCTCATTCCTGCTGGCAATCAATCAGAATAGAGTTGGAAGGGACTTTGGAGGTCTTCTAGTCCAGCCCCGTGCTCAAGCAGGAGACCCTATAACATTTCAGACAGGTGGCTGTCCAGTCTCTTCTTAAAAGCCTCCAGTGATGAATCCCCTACAACTTCTGAAGGCTAGGTGTTCCACTGGTTAATTGTCCTCACTGTTAGAAAGTTTATCCTTAATTCCAGGTTCCTTCTCTCCTTGATTAGTTTCCAACCCTTGTTTCTTGCCCTGCCCTCCGGTGCTTGGGAGAATAATTTGACCCCCTGTTCTCTGTGGCAGCCCCTCAAATAATGGAACACTGATATCATGTCACCCCCACCCAGTCCTTCTCTTCTCTAGACTAGCCATACCCAATTCCTGCAACTGTTCTTCATATATTTTTGTCTCCAGGCCCTTAATTGCCTTAATTGCTCTTCTTTACACTTTTTCCAAAGTCTAAACATCAGCAAAAGACAGACTCCTCCTCCTCTTCGTCTTCCTCTTCTCCCTCCTCCTCCTCCTATTCTAGCAAAGTATGCTTAGTTAATCGGAATTCATATACTTCATTAAGCCATAATTCATATTAGGTGTGATTTGCTAATGCTACAATAATCTGTTTCACTTGCAGTATTAAGCTAGGAACTAACATTTACAGGGGCAATGGCTGCATTAAGTCAAAGCAAAACAAACCACATTAGGGCATGATACAGCATGTAAATCGTACTAGTTTCTGAGTTGAAGCACTCTCCCCCAAATCACCTGGAATGAATGAATTCTTTTTGCCAACTGAGCAAGAACCATACTTTGTCATCATGTACCAATTGGCAAATCTTCAATCTAAGCTCAAAAATATTACAAGCACCCATGTATCAGCGAATACATATGTACCATTGTGGTGCAGAGTAAATACTATGTGTTGTGTGGTTAGTAAATAATATGTGTTGTGTGCTTAAGGTGTTAGACAGGAACCAGAAAAACTCAGGTTTAAATACACTGGATGACTTTGAGTCAGTCACTTGCAATCTAATCTATCACATGGGAGAGGGTGTTGGGGAGAAAAATAAGATAACCAGGCACATCACTTTGAGTTCTTCTACAATATATATACACATACACACACATACACACCAGAGATGGGTTCCTGCCAGTTTGCAACTATTCGGTAGAACCGGTTCGTCAAATCTACCGAACCGGTTAGAAGAGGTTCCACCAGGGGATTTGGAAAGCAGGCCACACCTACAGAAGAGGTTCCAAAATTTTTTGAAACCCACCACTGGTCCTTGGATATGATTATTCTACACTATCATGATCATATTTATAAAACTCAGTGCCTCTGTGAAAGGTAAGGATGACTACTGCGTTTGTGGTGCAATCAGAACATTGCATGTATTGAAGTTGTTTTAACGCAAACCAAAGATGCCTTTTAAAAAACAAGTTTACATCATATTCTTATGCATGCCAGTCCTGTGTGTGAGGTAATTTAAGGTGGTTCTGACAAGTGTTGTCGGCATCTTCATATCCGGTCACATGGGCGGCAAGCCACTCCCATCCGGTCACATGGGCAGCAAGCCACTCCCACAAAGGAGGCCACACCCACAGAGTGGGTTCGAACAATTTTTGAAACCCACCACTGATACACACACACACACACTAATAAATATTAGTATTACTGTGAAGACTCTTCATATAGTTCCAGTGATGGGAATGGTCAACAATATAAGCCTTCTTAGTGATATACCCAATAAGAGGTACAGGTAGTCCTCAACTTACAACATTTAGTCATTTAGTCACTGTTCAAAGTTACAACGGCACCGAAAAAAGTGACATGACCATTTTTCACACTCAGGACCGTTGCAGCATCCCCATGATCTACATTTGGATGTTTGGCAACTGATTCATACTTAAGAAAGTTGCAGAGTCCTGGGATCATGGGATCACCTTTTGTGACTTCTTGACAAGCAAAGTCAATGGGGAAGCTAGATCCACTTAATAACGTGTTACTAATTTAACAACTGCAGTGATTCACGCAACAAAGGTGGCAAGAAAAGTTGTAAAGTGGGGCAAAACCCGCTTAACAAATGTCTCACTTAGCAACAGAAATTGTGGGCTCAGTTGTAGTCATAAGCTGACGACTAACTGTATTTAGTTAGTTCCCAAATCTGACTTCATTTAGAAACCAATTGAAGCCCTGCTTATTTCCCCCCCCCCCCGGGGCATTTATGTTAATAATAACTTACAGTACTCCAGGATCAAACTGCCTATAAGATCGCCTGCCATTGATGGTTCTTTTTTGTTCTTTCTTAATCATTTTTAATTTTTATATGTATGATATTTTTTAAAAGCATTATTGGTTTACTGCAATGTTTTTAATACTATTTTTTTCCTCCCTTGTGTCTTAAATCTCCTTTAGTGGTCTATGGAAAAGAATAGCAATATAGACGTAAAATACATCCTTAGATTTAAGCATGTGTTCCTTTTCTGTTTTGGAAGGAAAAGGCGGACTCTTCAGAGTCTGGGGCCTGTAGCAGATCACCAGATATTCAGTTATTTCACAGTCTCAGATACCCATCAAGTCGCCACTTGCTTCCCCTGTTTTTAAAAGCATTTCTATTCTGAAAGTGAAAAGCAGAGTCCCAGTTTCCAAATGTCTCTACTACTGCCTTCGTTCCTGTTGAGCTCAGCACACTTCCCAGGAGAAAAGCAGAAGTTGCCAAGTTCTTCTGAGAGAGACTGCCGTGCTATTTATTGATTTGGTATTTTTTTAAATCCTCCATTATTTTTTTTAAATAACTCCAGCAAGTGATGAACATACATAATACTCTTTCCTCCTCCCATTTCCCCCCAAAATAACAACCCTGTGAGGTGGGTTGGGCTGAGAGTGTGTGACTGGCCCAAGGTCACACGGCTGGCTTTCATGCCTAAGGGGGAACTAGAACTAGGTCAGCATCTTAACCATTACACCAAACCGTTTCCTTCCTTCCTCTTCCTTCCTTCCTCCCCTCCCGCCCCTCTCTTTCTCTCCCTTCCCTTCCTTCCTCCCTCTTCCTAACTTATTTATTTTTTCTCCTCCTGTTCCCTCCTGCCTTCCTTCCTTTCTCCCTCCCTCCCTTCCCTCTCCTTTTTATAATCTGCTATCTTGCAATGATGCCGATGAACACTTTTCAGATTTCCATATATGCCCCTAAAGTCCTAAAAGCACTGGTGATCCGACTAACATATATGGCCTGGCCAGTTAAGTTCTCAGTCAGTCAAATATGTAGGGAAAGATCAATAGCTGTTTTTTGCCCGACACTGTGAAGAAACCCTAACATAATGCTCATACTTTATAGCAAGGATGGAGAATCTCAAGCTCTTCAGGTGCTGGTGACCTTCTGCTGAATACCACCTCTGATTGCTGGCTACAATTCCCAGCTAGCATAGAAGGTCACCAGCACCTTCTGGAGAACTGGGAGCGGAAATTTTAAGTACGGTAACTTGGAGAACCGGTAAATACCAGTTCCCCCCAACTATTCTCTGCCTCCCGAGTCCCAGCTGATCGGAGGGAATTGGGATTTCGCAGTAATTTTCCCCTGCCATGCCCACCAAACCACATCCACAGTAAAAAAAAAAAAAAAACTGAATCCCACCACTGCCAGCAATGTCTAAAGGGCTGCAAATTCTTCATCTCTAGTTTAGAAATTTAGAAAAGTAGACTCTCGGTTGTTGACGTTGTAGTAAAATGTGTCTTTTCCATCCTCATCTCAAAAGTAATGTCTGTACTACATGAAAATGACACTCACAATGTTCAAGTAGCACTGGCTTGCATCTATGGTATTCAGCAGTTCATAAACATGGTCCTACAAGGGGAAAATAAACATTAATGAGCATATTCAATTAATAATTTATCGACTTACATTATTTAGCATGAGCCCCATTGTTTCATTACACCATGAACTCTGGACAGGATTCACATGAAATACATTATTATACCGCTGTTCCAAAACCAGGCAAACCAGGAGTAACTACTGAGAATGAAACAGGTTTCTATCATAAGCTTTGTTGAGCTTGTAGCTTGCACAGGCTACTCATTCACAGAATGTACATCTTCTTAGGATGACTGCACCTCAGAGGTGGTATTCAGCAGGTTCTGATCAGTTCTGGAGAACTGGCAGCGGAAAGTTTGAGTAGCTTGGACAACCGGTAAATACCACCTCTGACTGGCCCCGCCCCCATTTATTCTCTGCCTCCCGAATCCCAGCTGATTGGTACAAAATGGAGATTTTACAGTATCCATGCCCTGCAGTGGGTTGGGAATGGGGATTTTGCAGTAGCCTTCCTCTGTAATGGGATGGCAATGGGGATTTTGCAGTAGCCTTCCCCTGCCACGCCCACCAAGTCATGCTACACTCACCAAGCCATGCCCACAGGGCCGGTAGTAAAAAAATTTGAATCCCACCACCGCTGTACCTCTATCCATAAATATTTATTTATTTATTTATTATTAAAATTTATATGCCACCCAATCCCGAAGGACTCCATGCGACTTACAAAAGAAAAAGAGAAAAAAAAAATAATAAGAGAAAAAGAAAGACAGTTTAAAATCACAACATGCATTCACTCTAACTGGGGCTGGACCTCAACAATGAGGTCAACAGCGACAGGCCTGCTGGAATAGCCAGGTTTTAACAGCTTTTCTGAAGGCCATGAGAGTGGGTATGGTCCGGATCTCTGGAAGTAGTTGATTCCAGAGGGTCAGAGCAGCCACAGAGAAGGCTCTCCTCTGGGGGCCCGCCAGCAGACACTGTCTGGCTGACAGCATCCGAAGGAGGCCCAATCTGTGGGATCTTACTGGCCGCTGGGAGGTATGTCACAGTAGGCGGTCTCAAAGGTACACTGGCCCTAAGCCATGTAGGGCTTTAAAGGTAATAACCATACCTTGAATTGCGTTCGGAGACCAATTGGCAGCCAGTGCAGCTCGCGGAGGACAGGTGTAACGTGGGTGTACCTCGGTACACCCAATATCGTTCGCGCGGCCGCATTCTGGACTAGCTGCAGACTCCGAACGCTTTTCAAGAGTAGCCCCATGTAGAGCGCGTTGCAATAATCCAGCCTTGAGGTGACAAATAGGAGAAGGCTTTTGCTCATATCCACATGGTGAGACTTGGAAGACCTGAAAGTTCTTTTAAAATGAGGCAGAAACTGTCGGATAGAGATTGGAAAACAAATGGGGCACTGCATATATATATATATAAAACCTCCCTTGGAAGTCTGCTGCTGAAATTTCCAGGAGACTGAGAAGGAGACATGATGGATTGAAGCAAAGGGAAAATCTGTTCAAAGAGCCTTCTATTTTGCAGGAATAGATTAAAAAAACATTTAGCTAGAGTTCTGCAGTAGATAATTCGCCTGGTGTTCTGAGTGGTACTAACTGTCTTTATTTCCTGAAAAATTACAGGATTGGATATTTAAATCTCAACTTGCATTTCTTTCTCAGGTTGTGTGCCTGAAGTTATATAATATTTTTTTTTATTTTAACACTTTTGTAATTGCAGCTTGGGATTCCTTCTTAGGCTCTGACTGGAAACAAGCCATTTTATAATAGACCACTATGATCTTATAGTTTGCATGAATATTTTTTTTAAAAAAACTTTGAAAATTCCCTTTTAAGTTGCTGTTCCTAATTGGAATAGCTCTGCTCATCTTTATCAGCATTAAATATTGAAATTAAGAGTCCAAATTAACAGGGAATTTTAGATTATTACCACTTATTTTTAAAAATAAAGCTGATTTTATTTATCTCCCAAGAAAGAAGAGAAAGGATGATTGGCACTTCTAATCACATACCTCAAAACTATACAGCTAAAAGATGGAGTTGTAGACATTATTTCATTTTCTCTATTTTTATCTTTTAAATGTCAGAAAAGTGATATGGGAGCCTTATCTCTCTTACGCATCAAAATTAGGGGGAGGACAGTAGAAGAGATACCCTATGGGAGAGTATAGTAGTAGTAGTAGTGCATAGTAGTCAGGGTATATCTCTCTATTGTGCTTTTGAAAACGGAGATTCAAAACTTCCAGCCTTGAATGGTAGTGATTCAGCCTTGTTACTATATCCTTCCTTATGTATCCTTAAAAGCTACATGAATCGTGTCTAATTTTACTCAAGACTGACAAATCTTTGTTTTCGTGGCCATAGACAGAAAATCCATAGTTGTAAACATTACTACTTTTTCATTTCCATGCTATAGGAACATTCACGTTTTTTTGGAGAGGGGAGGAAATGCTGTACTTGTATAGCTTTAAAGCACGGGAAAGTTTTATCCGTGTTTATTTACATGCCAATTGTACAATTGTACATATGCCTCATAACAAACCAAATGAACATAATAATAAACTGGGCTACGGGCCTTAAAGGTAAAGGTTCCCCTCGCACATATCTGCTAGTTGTTCCTGACTTTAAGGGGCAGTGCTCATCTCTGTTTCAAAGCCGAAGAGCCAGTGTTGTCTGAAGACGTCTCCGTGATCATGTGGCTGGCGTGACTAAACACCAAAGGCGCCCGGAACACTTTTACCTTCCCACCAAAGGTGGTTCCTATTTTTCTACTTGCATTTTTACATGCTTTCAAACTGCTAGGTTGGCAGAAGCTGGGACAAATAACAGGAGCTCACTCCATTACATGGCACTAGGGATTCGAACCGCCAAACTGCTGACCTTTCTAAT